CTGGCCTGTACCCCAGTTCTGTATGAGTAAATAAATAAATCTAAAAAAAAAAAAAAAATTCAGGCTCATAAACAATCTTACCTTTAACTGCCAGTCAAAATCCTGTAGCTGTGCAGAAGATATATCAACTATTTCATCTAACAGAGCCTGCTTGATTTCATCTTTTCTACTTCTTAAGCATTTCATGATGGTTTCTTGATGAAATGAATTCAACTGATTCAACTGCTGAAGTATCTATAAGAATAAAAACAAATGGTTAGAAAATAAAAGCTTTTTCTGTTTAAAATGTAAATGCCTATCTATACTCTTTCACACAATCTTTAAAAGAAATAAGATCAATTTTGCATCAACTATCAAAAAATAGAAAAATAAATACATATTGTAATATATTTTGAAATCAAAATAAAATTTGACTTTCTACAGTTTCATTATAGGAAAGAAAAACCATCAGGTTCAAATAATTCAAACAGAGATGTAAAAATCTTAAACAAAATACTGGCAAATCAAATCAAGAGGTACATGAAAAAGATTAGTATTACATTCAAAAATCAGAGCAAGTCATCATTCTATAACTTTCTCTGCTTCTTCTATTTAAGTATTTCACAATTAAAAACCATAAACAACCAAAAACAAAACTTCCACTTATTCCTAATTATGAGGTTTATGTTGTTGAAAAACATACTGAATTATGATGGTGATGGTCCTTGTATTATATAACGCCCTAAAGACAATTTAATAAAAAAACTCAACATTAATCATTTATTTTTAATTATAAAATATAGCAATTTGGCATGAAGTTACCTCTTCATCTGGTAAATTTTTACCAACAACAAATTTGAAAAATTTGGTAATATCATCTAGGACGTGCTTCCATTCTGTTGAATCCCAAACGCTGTGATAATCCTGGTAAAGTGGATAAGCTCGGCCACAAATGCCATCAATTATTTTGTGAAGAAGCTAGGGAAAAAGAAAATAACTGTAAGAAAAAAAATTATAAAACAAATTTTCTAACAAACAAATACTGTTGGGACAAGTTCATGCTATCTACAAGATTACCTATGGTAGAAATGTAACTATTTTTAACATTATTCTTATAAAATAAAAAATTTATAAGAAAATTAAACCTTAAAAAAACCAAAACTTCTATAATTCTGTTTACCCTAAAAAAACTAAAACTCTTTTATAAATACACTGTTGTATTTCAAAATTCCTAAAAGAGTATAAAAACTTCATATTGCAATTTTGCAGATATTTTATTTATGCTAAACACCAAAGTCTTTTATTGTAGATCTTTAAATGTCTATAAAGAACTTTCTAAGGTATGCACATTGTGTTTTTTAGACATAATGCTACTTGCATACTTAACAGACTACAGTATAAACATAAATTTTTTTTTTTAAGATTTATTTATTTATTCATACAGAACTGGGGTACAGGCCAGAGATGCGGAGGGTGAGAGAGTTCACCAGAGACAGAGTGGGGAGCAGAACAGGCAGATCGACGAAGTACACTGCTGAGGGGGGCAGCGGGTGGGTCAGGAGAGGTCTGCCACGTCATGTGGTCACCTCCAGGGCAGGCGGGAATAGAACTCATGTGGAAGCGGCTTTAGATTCTCAGCGCTGTGCTTTAACCCGCTGCGCCACCAGGGAGGGCCTAAACATAAATTTTTATATACCAGGAAACCAAAAAATGTGTGACTTGCTTTAACATGTTTTTTGCTTTATGTTGGTGGCATGAAAATGAATCTGAAATTTCTGAGGAACACATCATTTGATTCCTTCCCTCAACAAATACCTTGAACCACAATTCTTATTATGAATTTACAAAGTAACCTGAAGGAGCTCTGAAGAACAACAAAAACAAAGACCAGAGGCAAGATTTTTTACTTGAGACACTGTTTTTAAGGCAGGCTTAATGCTGAACTGCTGGGGAACAGAGGAGTTAAGGAAGGAAAAAAAAAAACATATCAACACAGTGATTAAATTCAAGGTGTTAACAGTTTGCAATCTGAAGGCAAACCAAACCACAGCTTCAAGAGCTAATGCTGAAGCTCAATTTTGCATATTTTGCTGCCTATTAAGAGTAGACAAATTTCAGGTCTGATACTTGAAACACTAAGTTTTGGGGTTCTTTGCTTAAAAATTAAGGATCCAAAAAATAAATAAATAAACCCACACTTTTCTGCAGATACTCTTTCAGGAACCTTTTCTTCCTTTCACAGTGAGTATGTGTCTCCACATTTTTTCTTTCAAACTCATTAAAATCTGCTGCTGCCAAAAACAAACTGCTGGCGCCTTTGGTATAGGGATAAATACACCAGCATGGCATATAGACTCCAGCCACTTGTCCAGCCACACTCCTGCTCACTCGTCCAGCCTCAGTCTCCCAGCTCCGGGACCTGAATTACAGCAAGCAGCAGCAAATTCATTACTGAATAATTCAAAGTCCTCAGGGGCTGGCTGGCTGGCTGGCTGGCTGGCTTCGTCCAGCCTCTGTAGCTCCTATTCCTCTACCAGAAATACTCGTTCTCCTGCAATCTATCTGGTTCCTATCATCCTTTGCTCTCAACCTAGAAATTTAGATGTTCCCCATCTGAAAAGTCTCGACCTCTTGACATTTCAAATATTGGGCTGCTGGGCCTCCCAACAAGCTCATTACTGGAATACTCAGTTTGTTTTCACCATTTTACCTTACCCTCTTAGGGGGCTGAGCACAGCACTTGGCAGTCTTCAAAGAAAAGCTGGCTGAAAGAATGAAGGAAGCTGCTTTTTGCCAGATGCTCACAAGTAAAATTCCTTCTTAAACTCTAGGTGTCAATATGTATGTCGCAAAGCCCACTTTGGGCCACACTAATTTAAGCAATCCAATATATCAAGCACCTTCCAAACTTTTTTCCTGTGCAGTTTCTCTAGGTCACCATGGGATGAATACCCCAGCAGCTAACACAGTGCCTAGTGCGCGAAGAGGGTGGTGATGCATGCATGAATGAACGGCTGAATGAATGGATGGATGAAACTAAGAGGCTGTAAAGTTAAACGACTCCAAGTCATGAGCTTCCACAGACTTTCACGCAACGCCACTCCCCAGTCCAAGACCATTAGGTCCCGGGAGGCGAGTGACGGGTTAGATCCCGGTGCGCAAAGACCCTGGAGCTGCAACTTCAAGTCAGCGTGGAAAAGAGTGCCCCTAAACCTCTCCCTACCCAGTTCTTCAAGATAAGAGCTAGCCAACCGAAATCACGCCCCTTTTCCCCTCCTTTCCAGGCCAATCCGAGTGGGTCGGGCGAAAGACTCTAGAGAAGAACCGGTCTGACCCGTAAACCAGGCCCCCCCGGAGTCCCAGACCGCGCTGTCGCCTCCAGCACCCTCCTCACCTGCGGTATTAGCTCCCCAGAAACCTTTTGCAGCCGCCACAAGGGCGTCTCCTCTTCCGGCTCCATCCTGTGCAAAGCCTGGGCGTGAGTCACATGACACAGTGGCGTCGCTCCCCTTTTGCGTTGGCGCGCCCACGTGACTCCCAGACCGCGGGGCTAGGCAGGGAGTGGCAGGAATTCTAGTGCGCTTGCGCAGTGGCGGTCCACGCTTTCACTGTGGCAGGGTGAATTTCTTTTCTTCTGGTGGTGAGATTCTTCAATTTCCCTGTATTGTTTTTGCGAATCTCTCAACGCAGTTTGTAGCTTTATTCACAGTGTTATTGAACTTTGCTTGTCACAATGCGGTCTATTAATAGTAACCATATTTTGGGGAGTATCCTGGAGGTTTGACGCTTAAGAACTTTGAAGGTTTACTATACACAAGGTTCTAGACATAGCTTATTACTGTAAGATGCTGTTTTCATATACCTATTTCCAAATAAAAACTATCAGAAAGTCAAGTAAAAACAGAACATGCACGGTTAAGTAATGAATTCTTGATAAACACAGTTTGATTCCTTAAATATTCCTTGGCCAGTTTTGAATGCCCCTTGCTACCCTATTTCAGTTGGCAAGCCAGGAGAAGACACTGGTTGGCCAGTCCTCACCTTGGGTTGGTCATCTTAAAGTGCAGAGCAATTGCAAGCCCTGGCAATAACTAATCTGGATTTTTTTTTTCTTGAGTACTAGTCATGGTACTACTCAAACCTCAGTTTGGGTGGTTCTGTTTCTCCTTCAACGATTCCACTTCTTCAATCATAAGTTTTGAGTTGAAAAATTTGTAAAGTCTGGTATTGACATGTCAGTGTCTTTATTAATGGGGATTATATGGATATTTAGTGGAAATCTACAAATCTGGATTTGTACATTAGGACTCTTCTTGGTATGTTGGGATGCATACTATTTGGTCAAAAAGGAAGTAAAAATTCAACAACAACAACAACAACAAAAAAAAAAAACACAGGAGCATGTACAGAAATTGCAAGAGCACATACAGGGTGCTCTCCAAAACTTAGAATTGGAGAACCACTTAAAGGTTGAATGTTCTTTTGAAAAACTGCAAGGGAAGATACACAAATTAGAGGAGCAAGTAGCAGTAACTCTCCAGAAGTCAGATTCAGAAAAGGAAGAAGCCCATTTAAGGCTGAGCATTCTTTTGAAAAGCTGCTAGGGCAGATACAGAAATTGGAAGAAAGAGTAAAGATAGCCCTCCACTAGAAATCAGATTAAAAAAAAAAAAGTAAGCCCATTTGATGGCACAGAGAACAGTGATTAACCATTGCCTGTCCCTGATAGAGGCAATAAAGAGGCACAGGAAAAGGAGAACAGCTTCACAGTGGCAGCTTTAAACCTGTCTGCACAAATTCCCCTCTGTGCAACCGGTGCTCTCCTGAGGAGGCCGTGAGGGTTCTGCAAAGCTTCAATTCCCTTCAGCAATAATACTGAAATGCTTTTTAGGGCAGCCAATTCCCCCTTCACCAATTCCCCAAGCGGGGATTAAATGATGGAGGTCAGCTTGCTGGGTATTACTGGTGTTAGAGTCCCTTTACTCCTGCAGATCTCATGAACTGGAAAAGTTCCATCCCTTCATAAAAACAAAACCCTAAAAAGATGGTGAAATTGTTCGTGACTGTTTTTTTTCCCTCCACTGACCCACACAGGCAAATATGCCATCTATGTTGTGTACACTGCTTACAGGGGATAAATGAGATTGGTCATGGGAAAGGCCAGGGAAGAAGCAGGTCATGGTCACCTCAAGGATACAAGCACCCAGAGGAAGAGGAAGTTGTTCCTTTGGCAGACTCTAACTGGGATCCCAATAATGGGGGTTGGAAAATATTGGAACACTACCAAACAAAAGTGCTTGTTAGCAGGACTCAGGCAGGGGATCCTGAAATAGAAAAGTCTGTTACGTCATGGAGGATTGGCAAAGGCCAAATGAAGATCCTTCAGACTTTTTTGAAAGAATAAGACAGGCATATCACATACAGATTTAGATCCTGAAGCCCCAGAGAATCTAAGATAGGTTAATCTAGTCTTCATGTCACAATATGCTCCAGATATAAGAAAAAATGTTACATTAAATTGATGGTGCGACCCAGCAGAAATCAAAAGAATAATCAGAGAATACTATGAGCAACTATATGCAAACAAATTGGACAATTTAACAGAAATGGACAAATTTCTACA